ATTAAATTTAATTTTTTTTAAAAAAATATTTTGGTGAATGCACATTCTCTATATACACTATATTGCCAAAAATATTCGCTCATCCATCCACATAATCAGAAGCAGTTGTGAGCGAATACTTTTGGCAATATAGTGTATATTTGGACCACAAATGCTGGTTTGTTCTTTTCACTGATGGTTTATGATTATAGTCTTTCAAACTTTATTATATGTATTCATTTTTTTTTCATTTGAAAATATATGTACTGTGCCATGCCATAATTTATTTATATGGGCAATAAAATTTTATATGTGATAACCAAATTTTATAATAATTTCATCTTTTTAAAACAGGCAAGCTGCACTTATTGCAATATTGGTGAAAGTTGGTGTTATATCTGAAAAGCACACATGGGAATGGCAGAGTGTTGAAGCTGTAGCAACTGGTCTGCAGGTAAGTTAAACCAGCTGTTTAATTATCATCTTTTATTCCCTTATGCTGCATAAGCTCTCCTACATAACAGAGCTTGGCACAAGGTTATAAATCTCTTTGAAATTTGCAGTTATAGCCAGCTATTTCTTTGATATGTTGCTTATAGGTACATCTTTATGATGTGGATATTTTCAATTCTTAAACTCTTTTCTATTAGCAATAGATAAACAGTGGTATTATATTAGTTACATTTTTGGTCTAGAGGTGGGTGAGTTCAGCAGTGGAAACTTTTAACATGACTTTGGGTCATTAGACTTTCAGCCCAATCTCGTAAGTATCATACAAAATAATAAATAAATAAACAAACAAATAAATAAATAAATATGTTTTCATAGATTTTCACGGGTATAGGTATGCTGGTCTTGTTGTGTTCGGGTCTTTTCCCATGTAAGATTGAGATTGTCGGCGAGGCCTCACTCACCATCTTCAGGCTGGTGTTTTCAGCTTAAAGCATGGTCGGAGTTGCTGTCTCTATAAATCTTGGTGTGTGTGTGTGGAGTGCTGGCTTTGTTTCAGTAAGTGGACTGATTGGCTGTGTGGTTGTATTATGATTGGTAGATTGGTGCTGATTGGTGCTGGCTGTGTGTCCGTTGTTTTGTGTTGTAACGGCCTGGGTGGTGGGTGGGGCTCGTTTGTTGACTAGGGCTAGTTTCCAGATGTCTGGTAGGTGGGAGGTATCATCACATTTATTCATGTTGTGGGGGTGTTTCTTTATTTCAATCGCTTCCATAATTATTCTCTTGTTGAAGTATTCAGTTTTAGAGATTAATTTGATTCCTTCAAAATTAATTTCATGTCCTGTAGCTTTAAGATGCTTGAAAAGGGAGGAAGTTTTTTCTTTTTTTCTTACTGCGTTCTTGTGTTCTGCGATGCATTTATTCTCCTGTTCGTTTGTCCTATGTATGTTGCAGGGCAGATTTTGCATGGTATTTCGTAGACTCCTTGGTTTTCTAGCTGAATTAATTTTGAAGGAACCAAATTAATCTCCAATGTATGTATGTATGTATGTACGTATGTATGTATGTATGTATGTATTTATGTATTATATTCCATCCTTTAATAGGAGTATTTTACACCTATCCCAATAAAGCAGAAGTTTCTAAATGTTCTTGGTTCATGGCAGTATTAAGTGTCTTACTAATTTTTTTATGGTCTCCTTAGAGAAATCTCTGATCTTTTTTGAGCTGGTGGTAGATATGGGGCCCAGTATTGCTATGTTTCCCTCAAAGATTTTAAAATATGCCTCAGCATTCCTGTGAGTTTACAGCAGTATCTCAAGATGCTTTAATGACAAACCTGGACATGGTCAATAGTTAATATAACATCTGCAGCTGATTGATATTAGTGTATGGGAAAGTCAATTTTATAAGTATATCAGTCATAGACCATGCAGATTTTATGAATTCATGCTGACTTCTTAAACTGGGTCTGGCGGATGATAAGACATCTATTGCAGTGCTCTCTAAACAATATTATTTGTTTCCATCCATATATGGAATTAGTCTGTAATCAGACTAGTTGTATTCTGCAATGAATGTAACTTCTGTGTTCAAGATTATCCCATGTACAGAGTGTAGATGATTTTCAATATTTATTGGGTGTTACATTATTGCCCACAATCAAGAACTGATGGCTTCTCAGTTCTGAGAATAGGAACAGGTTTATAGCTCTAAAAGGAGAACTGTACATTCGATTCTTCACTTACTGAGTTCTTTCTGAGATTAAAATTTTGGTTAGAAAGCCCCTTAAGAAAAAATAGTGTCAGGATTATGGTTGGTCATGATCTCATACCATTGCTATTTCTTAAAATTGTTTTTTCAACTGATTATAATTGGTTAAAAACATGCCATTCTAAATGGTCATTAAAGTAGAAATTCTTACAATTACAACTTGCTTAACTATGGAGTGAATAGTAATAAAATTATTTTTTCTTTGCTTAGGATTTTATCATCTGTGTTGAAATGTTTTTTGCTGCAATTGCTCATCATTATAGTTTTACCTACAAGCCTTATGTGCAAGAAGCTGAAGAAGGATCATGCTTTGATTCATTTCTTGCAATGTGGGATATTTCAGATATCAGAGCAGATGTAACAGAACAAGTTCGCAATGTTGGTAAGCAAAAAAATGAAAATATATCTTTAGCAAAGAATTATTAAATATTAAGTATTTTAGCTGTTCAGTTAATATTATAAACTTTTATCAGGTTTAATTAACGGCAATGTTTAAAACATTTTGTCTTTAGGAAGGACAGTATTTGGTCAGCCAAGGAAAATGTTTTTTGGTGAGGATCAGGAACAAAATGAGCATACAAGTTTGTTGTCAACATCCAGCCAAGACCCAATTTCTGCTGCTGCTTCGGTACCATCATCACCTGTAGGTCACTATCAAGGATTCGGACATACTCTGACTCCAACAACGCCTTCTGACCCTATAGCTGCTGATTTGTGTAATTCTGTAGAAGAGAATGAGGATTTTTCTGTTCAACCAAATAAGCGTATAGATAAAATTTAAAGCTCTGCTCAAATATCTTAGGGACCTTTCTTAGACATTACTTACTATCTGCTACTCTTTCTTTGGAAGTACATTTTCTACAAAAGAATTATTTATTGAAGATATACTAAAACAAGCCAGGTGTTTGGGCTTTACTTTTACTCTCCCAACTAAAGTGAAAGAAATATGCATTTGTTATTCAATGAAGATAACCATCTATAAAGAACATAGTTTTAGTGCTATAATATGGTACATAAATACTGAATTTGAATATTGAAACAAAGTAAGAGGGAACACATAATGTATATGATTGAAAACAACTCACTGGCATAGAATTCTTACAGTAAATGAGAGCACATGTTGAGATTTGAGAAGTTTTAAATAGGATTCAAATTCTAATTTTTCCATTGAGCCTTTTAGTTAACTTAAATATACCAGAATCTTTACGGAGCTAATATTTAAAGACTTTAGTAGGACTAATGTCTTGAAATTGTTCTTAAAAAAAAAAGGCATGATCAGCATATAATAAAGTAAAGCTAATTTGTTTGGGTTGGCCTTGTAGATTGAATAATTTAACAGTGTTTTCAAACTTAGCAACTTTAAGATTGTTGACTTCAATTCCCATAATTCAACTGGGGAATTATGGGAATTGAAGTCCACACTTCTTAAAAGTTTCCAAGCTTGAAAAACATTGATCTGAAATCTTTATTAAGATTGTATTAAGTGTATGTTATACACTACTGAATGAGTTTAAAAACATTCTAGTTAACACTATCAAGTGGAAGATACTTGTCTAGACAGAAACAAATAGCTATTCAGTTGTAAAATACATGGATGTAATAAATCAATACGGGCTTTAAGTTTTCTCACAATCTTTTTTTAATCATGTTTATACATGTTTTGCATGCTTGCTATGTTACACGTATAAAAATTTGCACCAAGAATTGTATTTTTGAAATAGCACTTTCAAGAGCTCAATGTTTTAATATTCAAACATGACGTTTTTCTTAATTGATCTTGAAATAGGTACAGTGAACTCATGCTACAAGTATTTTACAGTACTACAGTAGTATGTTTGTAATTACTTGGCCTTGTTTACTGGACTACATATTTTCTTTAACCTCATTGTGTCCTTAGGTGAAATTTATTAAAGAGACAAAAAGTTTGTACTTATTGCCTCATACTGTATAAAAGTAAATAAACTTTTATTTAAATTTTGTGTTGCGTTCTTCTAACATTGACGAAAACAATCTTCTAGAAAAACCTTGTTGGCTCTAATGATCGATCTGAATTTCCTTGATACTGGGCTGTAAAAGAACCCAATAAATTATTCTTAATAGCGTCTTACATTACTTTACTAATATTATTCTGCTGCCTCTTTATAATCTAATATTAATATGTAAGAAATGAGTAAAATGCACGCCTTTGTTCTTAACTTTCAATCCATCTGTTCTGCTGCAATATGGAGATATTGTAATATTTTTTAGTATCCTTTTTTTTTCTCTGCGCTCTACTGTATATTCTGATTTTTTCTTTTGTTTTCCTTGCATTTCTTTTTCCTTTCAGGCTGGTTCCTGGTAACTTTGGTTTCTCTTCTGTACTGTTCATTGCATCATTTCAGCTAACTTGTCAGCAAATTCCTAAGCAGATCCACTTGCCACTGTGTAAGTGCAAACACAACTATTCCACTTGCCCTTTATGCTTCTCACATAAGAAAAAGGAAGATCTTGCTGGTTAAGCTCTCTCTCCAGCTGATTTGATCTTTTATGTATAAACAGTTTATAAAATATAGCCTGTTTTTAAATGTCCATAATATAAAAAAACAATTTAGGACTTTATATTAAGAAATGATATTTATTGCATTTTGTTCAGCTGCTCTTGTGAGTTGAAAGCTTTAAAAATTTTAAAAGTTACTTGAGGTTCCGGTAGCTGCTATTTTGAGTACATCTGCAGATGGTGCTGGCATGTAGATCCTTTTTTAAAAATAGGTAATAGTTTTAATGGGAATTGACAAAAATATGCTAATAAAAGAAATGACTATTGGATGAGCTACAAAATAATTATATACTCTGCTCTTTACTTTGTATTCTGTATTATAAAATAGTTTTGAACAAAACATTCTTTTTTCCCAATCAGGAAACAAATTACAAACATTTATTGGTTCTCTAAAAATGAAGACTTATAAATACACTAGAACCATTTTAACATCAAACATCAAGGTATTTTCTTCATTATAAAATTAAGGGGTACCATTTCATGTTCTTTAGGGCTAATGATCTAAAAAACAATTTTTTTGCCAGTTAATTCACTATTTTAGTAATCTGTAAACATGTAAGAAAAAGCAGGCATATTGTAGAATCCCCATTTAATATATTTTATACTTTTTATTTAGTAATTTTATACAATATAAAAAAGCAATGCTTCAAGTCCAAAAATCTAATAGTATTTTTTTTGCAATTGAGAAACAATGTTTTGCAACATTATAAAATGTTCTGTTCAGATTAACTTCTTCCACAAATTGAACAAGTATCTTAAACATTTTAGCAAGATTATTACTATATCATAGAACATAAATTTGGAATGTAGACATTCAAATCTAATTAAGAAAAGCTGTTATCTTACTGTTTTACTACCACACTGATGTTGCTTTTATAATACTGAATACTTAGAATAAGCTTTTCTCCTTCTTGAACCTGAATGGGTTTATCAAGCACAATGGCAGCTTGTTTCCAGTGAGATGACTTGCTTGATGTATCCAAAACAATATCATTATCCAAATATACATGATACCAAAATGGAATACCAGTCACTTGACCCGATTTACGAATCTCAACCTATAAAATCAACGTGTGTGAAATTACTGTTCAGCAATAAACTATTTTTTTTTAATAAAATTACATGAAAATATTTCTCTTAAGGAATGTATATAACGTGCACAAGTGCATGTCATTTTGCCATTTTATGGCTTGTTAACATGCTTCTGAATGAGGAAATATAAGATCCAAATTTCATTAATGATTTTGTATAAAAAGATGGAGAAAACACTTATTGAATTGGGTGTGAAAAATAATACCCTAGAATAGGGAAGTCAAAACAATATTGATGTATTTAGAAAAATGAGGTGAAATTAACAGAATGAAAGTCAGCTGAAACAAGCAGAAAGTTCTGGGAAAACATACACTGCTCAAAAAAAAAGGGAACATTTAAACAACACAATGTAACTCCAAGTCAATCACATTTCTGTGAAATCAAACTGTCCACTTAGGTAGCAACACTGATTGACAATCAATTTCACATGCTGTTGTGCACATGGAATAGACAACAGGTGGAAAGCATAGGCAGTTAGTAAGACATTCCCAATAAAGGAATGGATCTGCAGGTGGTGACCAGAGACCACTTCTCAATTCCTATGCTTTCTGGCTGATGGTTTGGTCACTTTTGAATGCTGGTGCTTTCACTCTAGTGATACCATGAGACCGAGTCTACAACCCACACTAGTGGCTCAGGTAGTGCAGCTCATCCAGGATGGCACATCAAGGTGAGCTGTGGCAAGAAGGTTTTGCTGTGTCTGTCAGCGTAGTGTCCAGAGCATGGAGGTGCTACTAGGAGACAGGCCAGTACACCAGGAGACGTGGAGGAGGCCGTAGGGGGGCAACAACCCAGCATCAGGACCGCTACCTCCGCCTTTGTGCAAGGAGGGACAGGAGCACTGCCAGAGCCCTGCAAAATGACCTCCAGCGAGGTCATTTATGTGGCTGCTCAAACGGTCAGAAACAGACTCC